CTAGAGAAAAGGCAAGTTAAGAAGTCACCTGGGCCTGTGGAAAAATACGTTTGCCAAAAAAGGTGAGGAGAGACCAAAAAACCCATGGTTTAATGTGAGGAACCCCAAGGCATTATTAGTACAAAAAGAGGAGTTAGGTTCCAGAGCCAAAGAAGCAGTCCCATCACTGCTGGTCCTCCTCATGCTACAGGATGCTAGGTGTGGAACCAAGGTCCCCAAGAAAAAATGCAAACATTTTTTAAAAGAAAGACCACCTGTTGGTCCCTATAACTACAAGGCCATGAGGCTTTTTACAGAGGTGTAATCCCAAGGGTCAGCTTTGACCAGGCCTGTGACCCATTCCAAACAGGTCACTCATGATGCCCCTGCTAATCTGACAGCACGTATCCAAGCTGTGACCATGGGCTGGTTAGTGCGGTTACTGGGCCCACTAACTGTACCGTGGCCTTGTTCTTCTAGGCACATTAGCCAAACTAACATTCATCAGACAGTTGCTGCACACTAGGCCCAGGTCTGGGCCCATTCGACATCAAGTCAATTTTCCTCACAACCCTGAAAAGCAATGCTCCTGTTCGACGGGTAAGATAACCATAGCTCATGAGAGGCTGAATGGCGTTTTCCTTGAACTCCTGGATGCCCAATTCTAGAAAGTATAAAACCAGAGCAGTGGTTCTCAAGGGGGGAGGAGGGGAAACTTGACCAGCAACCCCAGCATAACCTGGAACACGGCTAGAAAACAAATTCTCAGGCTCATTCCTCATAGGCTGAATTAGAAACTGTGAGGATGCAGCCTGGAGACCTGCATCCCAACAAGCACTCAAGTGACTTGGATGTTTCAAAGTTTGAGAGCAGCTGAGCTCAAGATCCCAGAGGCATAGAAGCCAGGGAGTCAGCAACAGATGGGATCATCTAAAGCAGCACTTCCCAAAGTGTGTTCAAGGAACGCTAGTGCTCAGGAGATTAATGGGAGGAGCTCCACTGGCAAGTAAGTTTGAGAGCTCCTGGTTTAAACAAAGCTTAATGAGGCTTTTTAATTGCAGGATTCTCTTTTATCTAGATTAATGTGTCTTGCGCACATTAAATGGTTTTCCAAACTTCCAGGACCATAGATCCCTCTTTTCTCAGAGCACCTATTACCTATCTCCCAGGGTGCCCATGTTCCATGGAGCCGAGGCTGGTACTAGTCTTGAAGGAAGAAAAGCAAAGAAATCCAGAAATTCAAGAAGACATCTTCTGTGAGCAATATGCCAACACCTTTGGAATCCCAGGAGAGGGGCTTTCTCTCCCCTTCTGTTTAATGACAGCTTCAGTCCAGATTCCCTCTTATATAAACCAAAACAACATAAAATTCCTCCAGTACTGGGGAGCCACAGGTCAAGGTTACTAGGTGAAGAAAGTTTGTGCCAATGACCATGAGGCTTTTGGTGAGTAATCCTGTGTCACAGACCAGTAGAGTCAGGAAATGTATTACTGTATTCTCAGCAATGGAGGTCTGAGACTTTCAAGAACCTATCAATTATTTTAATAACAAAGCTTTAGGGGACCGGGGATTTAGCTCAGTGGTTCAGCTGCCTGCCTCACAAGCATAAGGACCCAAGCTCGATTCCCGGTACCAAAAAAAGAGAACAAAGCTTTAGTGTGGACAGAACAAGGGAATGAATGTTTCTCGTCCCACAGATACATAAGCATTTAGAGAGAGTACCCACTGCCCACCCCAGGACTCAAGGGAAACAGAGGGTAGATATGGCGAGCCATTATGGTGAGCCTTGACACAGGCCTAGCCATGATTTAACTTTGGGTCACCTCGCTGGCACGGAGGTGCTCTCGCCCATAGCCACGGGCGAGTTCAGCTGGTAGCAGATGTAACCCATAATGGTTGTTATTGTTTCCCTCTGGAATGTGTGGGCGGTACTCTCGCTCCCGTGCAGCCCTCGCTCCCATGCAGCTGGAGAGTATAAAAGGAAGAGGTTCTGTAATTTAAAAAAAAAAAAAAAAAAAAGCAAGCAAGGAACTTGAGAAGAAAGGTGCTTCCCGTCTCTCTGTCCTCGTCCTTTCAGGTTTAGGACCTGCTGGCAGGATTCTGACGTCGCGGCTTGCGACAGGTAGACAGGTTTTAAAAACATCTTTTATGTGCTGTCTTCCCTGGGTCTGATGGTGAGAGTCGGGGGCATCCCAGGGAAGACAGTTTACTCCAGGCAGAGACGCATCTCATCTAGGCGTAGGGCTCATATGAAATGGAAGAAGCAAAAAGAAACACTAAAAGATGAACAAAAGCAAAATGACATCACTCCCCAGGGTTCCCATCACTCACCTGGGAATTTGGTCACTTGCATCACAGGAACAAGGACAAGGTGGTCTCCTTCCTCCTCGGATGCACCTTGCGTGAGCCAGGCTGAGCCAACATTACAGCCCAGAGTGGGGAGGTGAGGTGCATGGGGCCAGGTGGCAACAAGTGCTGCGGGCAGATCTTGTAGCCCAATCTCCCTCTTGCCCCCCCCACCTCCGCCCAAGGCCTCTAGCAAATATCTGACACCTTGGTTGTGCCTTGGAAAGGGTCATTATCCAAATTAGAGTGTGAATGGGGAGCAACTGGCCCTGTTGCCAACACCGGTCAGACAGGAGCTCTGGGTGCCATCCTGGACAGTTAGGCCCCTGGAGGAGGAAGACCATGAACCCAGAAGTGAAACCACCAGGGACCAGAAACAGAACGGAAGAACCTGAACCATGACAGACACAAAGCCACCACTCCACTCTTACTTAGACAACCCACCTACACACAATTGTTCCACAGGAAAGATAAATTAATTTCTATTCTATAAGTTGGTTTTTTAAATTACCAGGAACATAAAGTATTTTGAATGGCTCTAATCATACTTGTAAAACCAAAAAGCTTAAATGTAAATTGGAATTATTTCACTAAAAATGCAACTAGAAGAAAATGTACATATTGCTCAACAATTTAAAAAAAAAATTCACAAGAGTCAGAGAAGCTGAGGGGCTCCTAGTATGCTGACTACACACCACCAATCCCCAGCCTCAGGAAAAATGGATGACGCCAGCAGTTCTGAAATGTCCCTGCCCTAGCCTACCCCTGCAGCTCTTCAGCAATGCCAGCCCCCGCCATGCTCCTCCCAGCCACTTCTGGGAGGTCGTTGCAAGGGCCTCCTTGTTTCTAAGGATGAGGCCTGTTGTTCCGCTCTGTGCCTCTGCTCTTTGCTAGCCCTGGCTCGTGGCCCTGTTAGTGTTTATACCTGCTGTGACCCCTGCCTTCTGCAGACCTGCCTGCCACGCAGGACAGCAGCTCCCGTGTAAGCTGGCTATGGTCATCTCAGGTGTGATCTCTAGGCCACAAGGATTTTGCAGCTCCAACTAATGCACTCTGCCTCCTTCAGGCACCAATAGGCTCTTTCCGATTGTGTTCCATGTTAGGAAACAGTGTTTGAAAAATAAAAACACATTATCCTACAGGCAAGAGCATGCTGCAAGGAGCTAAAGAACTGTAAAGGAAGCACTCAAAAATTAACATCAACATTTAGGTAATAATTTATTGGCTATCACATGTGAAGGTAAAATTACATTTCTCCACAAAACTGATGATTGAATTGAGCCAAGGGGAAGATATTGCACTGTTCATTTACAATTGAGCCAGGAGGAAAATATTGCACCATTCATTTACAAACTCCCAAAGACTGCCCCAGTGTCAAGATTCCCAGTAACAACGGCTCCTGCCCGCTCCAGTTCCCTGGATAATCACCAACACGTGGTTACAGGTGCTGATGGACACAGTCCAAACACTGCCCTTCGCTGCTGTCCTTCATTCAGCCAAAGGGTCTAAGAACTGGCCCAAAAGGAAAGACTAGGAGCTGGAGTCCTTGACCTCTTCGTGTTCTCTCTGGGACTGGACTGTACCTCCTGGTACCTACAGAGGCACAAGAGTCCACATCCACAGGGTGGGAGAAATGACCTTCATTTACCCAACCGCAGCTGTGCTCCTCCAGTTAATTATTCATCCGTGCTCCTCCCTGATCTTCTCCAGGTACTCTCTGTCCACCTCCAGCAAAGCTTCCAGAGTCTTTGTTTGCATACCCTGACTGCCCATCAGATTGCTCTCTAAGAATGTTCTTCCTTTCATTTGCTTCCTACTTGATCTAATAGGCAGCTGGACCCTCTGTACCTCGACACAGCTGAGTGAAGCAAGATTATTTTCTGAACCTGTAAACCTGGTTTCATGCTCTGTGGCTCAAGATGTTCCCCTGGATGGAAAAACCTTTCAAAAAGACGAGGCCATTGTGTCCCTCTGTGGACCATAAAGGCTAAGTAATTCCAAGGGCAAATGCTAAGGAATTCCTTGTGTCCTCCTCACACAAGGACAGAGGAAGGGAGCCTCAGAAACCAGGTCTGGCTGCTTTGGCCACCCCTGGCCCAACCCAGCACCAGACAAAATGGCCAGGCCCCAAATGCTAGTTCCCTGATGTAGAATTGGCAGCAGTTCAACCAAGACCTTTATCTCACAGAGTCTAGCTACCATGTAGGAGTCAATGTGTGATTCTCCTGTGATCACGCAAATCCAGGCAATAAAGGTAAAGGTTATAGCACTTCATGCTGTGAAACCATTTAACATTGAGCCCAATCCAAACAGCACAATTTGTGAAAGTCTAGGAATTCTAACTGTCCTTGAGAACTGCTCAATGATGAGAAGAGGCACTGCCAGCTCTCCCTACCAAGATCTAAGACTGCGGCAGGGAAGGGCAGGCTGTAGGGAACATCTCTCAAGATGAAGTAGCCTAGCCAAAAGTATGAATGGTATCAGCTTCATGGCTCACCGCCTGTGTGACCCCAGGGAGTCTTTAATCTCTCTAAACTTCATATTCCCCACGTGAGATATGAGGCTGTTACCTCACTCTCCTGGGTGACTGGAATGTATAGAACCCAGCACAATATCAGGGCAGGAGCTGTTCCTAAGGGCTTGAGGAGAGGGATCCAGCAGTGAGAATCCACCAGGAGACTGCCAGGCTACACACAATAAAGGGCGACAAACACACTGGTCCCATTTGTCATCTACCCACAAGGGCCACAGACCCATGACAGAGACACTGGCTACGGAGAAAGGACCATCAGGAAACTAGATCTGGCCAGATAAAAGACCTTGTAACAGCAGATTTTTCTAAATTGTTCCTAACAGCTGACTCGGCAGCTACGGGCATGTTTCTGGCGTGATCCCACAGACCTCGCCCATCCTAAGGGCCATGCTTCCAATTCTCTGGTGCTAATATCTGGGCCCGGTTTTGTTCAAATACTTGTAACATCTTCTCCATGCTGTGGTCAGCCTCAATCACCTGGAAATGAAACACACGGATCACAACCTCAGTTGCGCTGACCTCCATATTCCCCTCCCTTCATAGAAGACAGAAATGGAGGCAGGCAGGATAGGCAGGGAAAGGGAAAGAAGCCCAAGGGCACAGGGAGGTCGAAGCCAAGCAGCACCCAGCTCTAGGGTGGTCTACAGTCTCATGTAGATTTTCACTTAAGAGTCCACAAGAGTTATTCTGGAGTGACTTTTTTTCTCATCATTTTATAGTTACCTACTTTGATAGTGAGGAAAAAAGCGAATGTCTTTAAAAACCCCCTATAGTAATATCTCCCTTGCCTACAGCCTCACTACCAACCTGCAAGAGCTGTCAGTAAGAGTGTGCAGCCCACTGTCATGCACAGAAGCTTGTGACCCACCATACGGGTAGCAGCCTTAGGTACCACCTGCCTACCTGGAGAAATCTGGGCCATCAAATCTGAACCCAAGGGAACAGGCACTGAGAAACACTGACAGGGCAGACATCAGTACCAGTTAGAAATGACATGCATCAGTAAGAGAAACAGGTTACTATGAAAAGCAGCACAGGAACCCAAGGACAGCAGTCACCAGGACACACAGTCCTACACACCTCAGCACCTCCCAAGGGCATCCCCGTCACAGCCCAGAAGAGCAGCTCATGTTCCTTCTGATGACCCTGAGTCACTGAGCCAAGGTGAACTGAGGCTCTGTGTCATTCACTGAAGAAGGAAGGTCACATCAGAGGCACCACCACCCCAAAATATCCAAACCCCATCCCAGGTCCAGAGGCATCAGGCACCTGGGGCTTTTGGCCAGTGCTGGGTAAGTCACATGTTACACAGTCACTAGCTCTAAGGGCACTGGGACAGATAGCCCTCTCAGGTCTGTCCGACACACTCTAAGATTCAGTCCAGGAATGAGGGCTGACAGAGAAACAGCCCTTTCGAGCCTTCCCACCTTCCTCCTTCTGGGTCTGAGGACTCAATCCCTACCCACTTCTGCAGAGTAGCTGGCATGGCCTGAGTCACTCCTCCCTGTACAAGTCTCCCATCTGTGAGGGGTCTGACTTACCAGAACAGGGGCTGCCACAGGGAAGAGGCTTCCTGAGACCAGCCACTCCTCATAGAGGTGGTGAATGGCTTCCAGGTACTCCTGCCAGAGAAACACAAAGGCACAGGCTGTTGGGAACCCAGGAGTGGGTTATGGGCCAAAGCCCTCCACCAAGCGCCTTGGCAAGTGGGACAAATGTCATGTGGGCTATCCAGGGCATCCAAGAGTCAGAAGCATTGCCAGCCACCCTCTTCTGATCCTCCGGGATTTTGTGACTATGAATACTGGCCCTTCCTCTGGTGCTTGAATCAAGCCAAGTTCAAAGGCAGAACTATTCACCTGGCTTCTCCCATTTGCTGCAACTTCTCCAGTAGCAAGGCCCCAGTCCCATCACATGGGGATCCCCAGCTGCTTGATGAGCAGGTGGACCAGCCCTGGGCAGCCTCTGCACCCTCCCTCCAACTTGCTACCAAGCAGACTATGACCCTGCCCCAGCTGTTCCCACCCACCAGACCACTTGTCACAGAGATTCTGCAGACTGTGGACACCACCACCTGCAGGGAGCCTGGTGAGATGAGGGGGAACAGGTGCTTTCCCAGGCCAACTGTGCCTCCACACTGGGTAGTCCTGGACACATGCACCCTCCCACACACAGCCAGTGCATGCCAGCACCCCAGGCACCTCCTCAAGTGGCTACTCACCACCTCAGAAGTTCTATAAACCATGCTGCTGCCATTCCACCCACCACTCTCCCTGGGCAGCAGGAACTAGAAGGAACTAGAAGTGTCCTAGAGATCTTGTCAAAATCATTATGACAACAGCTTGGATAATGGCTTGCAAGGACTCAACGTGGCATTTCTTGAGAACATCTGGGTCACCACACAGAGTTGCTGTGCCCCATCGTAACATGATCTCACTGGACCTGGTTCATTGTGCTCCATCCTCCATCCACTCCTGCCTCTGAGATTCAAGGGAGCTGCCCATCATGGCTGGAATACACCTTGCTGGACCAGGGAAAAACCAGGCTGGGCAGGGCCTCAGGAGTTAGACAGGCCTTTCAGGGGACTCATTCTAAGTGCAGAGCCCCGAGATAGCCCACTAACTGCCTGCCCAGCTTCTATATATCTCCAGAGGCAGCTGCCCAAATGAGGCATTCAATTCAATGTTAACTGAGCAACCACTCAGGGCTAGGCCCAGGACACACGCAGAGGGCAGACAGGGAATAAGATCAAAAAGCTCACAATGGGGTTGGGGAGCAAAGGCATAAATAAATACTGTTGGTCTGCTGTCCAAAGGGTATCATTGTAGTGAGCCCTGGGGCAGGGGAGCCTAGTGGAGGGACAGGCACAGAAGTCTTCCTGGAGGATGTGACATCTGAGCTAAACTGTGAAGACAGAGGAAAGGCTGTGCAAATGCACAACTACGGTACTTCATGGATGGGTGTGTATGTGTGTGTGCACACACATTCAGGCAAACTTGCTCCTTATGGCCAGAACACGGAAGGCAGGGAGTGGGAGTGGAAGGAGATGATACCAGACAGAAGCATGGGGCAGGGTCATGTGGGCCCCCATACTGGAAACAGCAATCATGCAGCAGCGAGGAGGATGGACTTCAGAGAAAGATGTGGGGACTAAGGACCCAACAAGGAGTACAGACCACACCTGGTACAACAGTCCTAAATGAAGTTGATGTGGCCCCAAGCTAGAACGCAGGATAGCAAAGTATCCCAAGACTGGGCAGGCACTACCAAGCACCAAGTACTACCTCCAAGCCAGACGAGGCACTAAACTAAGCACTAGCTGCCTCAGGGAGTGACAGGCTTGGTCCTGTCCTCCTGAGACTCAAAATCTAGTGAAGATCCAGAGAGCACAGAACCTATCAACCTTCAAAAGGTGGGACAAGGCCTGCCTAGGCCAGGAGGGGATGAAGGGAAGAGGTGCTTCTGCACAGGGGTGCTGAGGCCTGAGTCAGGAACCACAGGGAGTGAAGCAGCTCTGGACATCCTCCGGGCTTCTAGCCACAGAGGAAATCATTCTCATTCTGTACCTGTTCTTTTCTGAAGACAAATACACAATGGTGTCACGGTAGAAGGGGCTGGGGAGGGGAAGCCAGGCTGGAGCAGGGGTAGTTTTCTGGTTGTCTTTGGCCTCTTACCAGTGGAATGACCTTCTCTTCTTCTCTGCATCTCATCTTTAATCTCTGGTGACAGGTCTCAGGAGTGGTCCGGAGATAAACTGAAGTTTAAAACAGTATGTGGCTCTGGTTATTCTGTTCATAGCTTGAGAGTAACAGCCTAGGGAAGGCCCAGCTGTAGGGAGGATCAGCCACAGCTCCAAATAAGAGACACAGACTAGGGATCACTCTGAGCTTGACCACTGGCTGTTCTGTACCCAAACGGGCACCTTGCATCTCATCCTCCAACTCTGACTCTTTTTGTAATTTACCAGCCCCATGCGGGCACTGTGAAGCCTAATGTAATCTCATTCGTAGTCAAGAGTTTAGCACAGAGTCTGGCATATGACGGGCTTGGTAAATGTCCAGTTTCTGTCCCTCCCCCTCTTCACAACTCAGAGAAGCCATCAAATCACAAGGATCCACCTCTATAAGTAGCTGACTCAGGAGATGACAGCTTAAGGAATCAGGTCAGAGTTCTTTTCTGAGGGCCCAAAATCCCCAATACCCCATCTGCCTTTGGACAGAAGGCTGAATTAACATGGGGAAGAAATCGCCAAAGGCAAGTGCCCTCTGCCTAATATCTCAATGGTTGGGCTGCCCTAAGCACATCCTGGCTGGGCCAGGGAATGTCCAGTCAGGGAGGTAAGAGAGGGCTCACCTTACCTATTAGGTCAACAGAGATGCTGATGTTCTTCACAATCCAGTCAAACCATTCAGACAGAATCACATAGTCCACTTCAGGCATCTTCCCACTGCAGTGAGAGTTCAAGGGTATATTCATTCATGAGAAAGTTTCTGGGCTATGCTGTACCCCTAAATGGACCTACAGATGGCTCTCATTGAGAAGGTATCACTAAAACCACAAGATGGTGACACTGAAATGATGACAGGACCCTAAGTGCTCCCGACCTCCCACTGCCTTGGGGATGGTTTATGGCAGTGATGGTAAGCTGTTTAGAGACCAAGTGTCAAACTGCACTAACTTATCACCAAGTACCAACACTGCAATTACATCTGAAGACTGAGGTTTTAGCTTAGGAAAAACAACTCTGTATTAATGCCTTTTGTCTTAAAAACGAGAAAGAAAGAAAATACAATAACAGCTGCGCTCCAGCTTCTCCACAACTGGTTTATGGTATAAAGAAGCAAAAGCCATGGCACAGGCATTTGGAGTATGAACTCTAACCAGAAAGACACTTTAAAGTTCATGCCCTAAGAATGAAGACAGCATTCACACTGGAAGATAGATCAGCAAATCAATTTCATCCCTAGAATTTTTGTGAAAATAATCATGGATTACAGCACTACTTAAAATAATGAAAAATTAAATCTTGGTATACATATGTATCAGGAAACTGTGCCATGCACACAATGATGTAAAATAATACTTAATAACATGGAAAATGTTTAAAATCTAGTACTCAATGCAAGAAAAGGATATAAACCTGCACACAATATGACCCCAATCATATTTTCAAAATATTCATCCGTTTTTTTGTTTGTTTGTTTTAGTACCCGGGATCGAACTCAGGCCCTTGTGCTTGCAAGGCAGGCAGCAGAGCCACTGAGCCAAATCTCTGGGCCCCATCCGTATGTTTTTAAATGACAAAGGAAAACACCAAACGTTAACCGTGCTTTTCTCTGAGCTGTAGGACTTTAGGAGACTTTCATTTTTTTCTTTATATCTTTCTGTATTTTGCCAATTTTATCAATATATTAGTTCTCAAATCAGAAATGGAAGTAGGTAGCGTTATTGTATGTCTTTAATTTAAAAAGGAATGCAAGGGGGCAAGGAAGGAAGAGCCCAAGACAGAAGAGAGCTGGGGTCTGCTCTTGGCATTCCTGTGGCTGTCTTCTGCCCTTAGAGGACATGGACAGCGAGGGACAGGAGTGGCAGCAGGTGGTTAGCACAAGGCACAAGAGAGGAACGTGCCCTTTTAACCTCTATCTGCAGCTCTGTGCAGGATGTACTCAGCTCTAGGTGTGGCTGGGCTGCAGTGTAGGGAGGGAAAGTAGGTGCACTGGGCTGCTTCAGGGAGCTCTGTTGGGCAAGGAGGGAAGAACGGGACACAATATAGGGCTACTCCCTGCTTAGCCACTGTGGCTGTGTCTAGATGTCCCCTCAAAGCCTCACATGGTCATAGGCAGGGCTTCGCAAAGGTGGCTGGATCTAGAGTGTGGGATGGTAGGATTAAGGATGTGTGAGTACTAAATGAGTCCACTGAATGGCTTGGCACAGTTCTGGGTGTGGATAATGGGAAGCCCACTCAGTATGAGTGCTACCTGCCCAAAGGGCACGCAGCCTGGATAGAATATAAGGGCTGTTGACACTGGCTGCTTTTTCCCTACTTTACTGCCTGCACCCACCATGAACTATCTCTCCATTGCGATGTCCTTCTAGCAGGCCACCCTGATTTGGAGCCAGCCAACTATGAACTGAAACCTCTACAAACTGTGAGCCAAATAAACCATTCCTCCTTGAACTGAGTATTTTGTCTTGGCATTGAGATAATTAACTAAGACACCAGCTGTGGCCCAACTCCAATGCGGGGATGGCAGAAGAAGGTAAGTAGCTGGGACGGTTTGAGGAAGGTGTTCTGGAAGACAAAGTGCACAAGTAGCACTGCTTTGGGGCCCAAATGACAGGACCTGGAACAGACTAGACAGAATGCTCTGCCTTCATCCCTGAGACTACCTTGATGCCCTGTGCGGAGCAGAGCTGAAGAGAACAGCAGGACTAGTCATGAGCAGTCTTCAGCAAGGAGACTAAAGTGAAGAAATGTGCAGGACCAACTCTGAAGTAAGGTTTTGCAACAAACAGCTGCTGATCGGCCCCTCCCATACTCCAGCACATCCAGACTGGTAATGCTGAGAACTGGACCATTTAGCAGCCAGGAGGAGAAGGCAGAGCTACTCAACAGCACAGTATCCCATATTACAGGGACTGGGCAGACAGCTGTCAAACTCGGCTGCTGGAGATCTTGACATAGGCTGCAAATCCCCACAGAATCAGTCATGAAACTACACCATAATTCATGACACAGGAAGTAGTGTCACCTGGGGGAGGAGAAACATCCAGGTGAAGGTAGGAGTTCTGGGGCCTTAGAGCCATTGCTTCCCTGGAAATCTGCTCTGGGTGGTCTCATGACACCAACTGGGTGGCTAGGGTGGGGCATCTCTTCCCACCCCGACCCCAGCCCAAACCAAGGGCTTCTCCCACAAAGCTGCCCCTGCTTTCCTAATGCATTTCTGAAAGGGGTCTTCATGAGGTGGTCTCCCTAAGGGGCAGCAAACCAGACCCAGGAAAACCCTTCTGAGATGGCCAGGAGCATGTGCTAGAAGATGCTGGAGGACCTTGGCAGCTGGTCACAAGCTGTGTAAACAAACAGAAACCTGGACTCCATGACTTTGAGACATTAGGCAGTGGTACTGTTTTATCCACATGTGCAGTTTCCTTCTAGAAATCTGCCTAGCCCCACTCATGTCTGCCTCCAGCATGGGGTTCCTAGCACCCAAGACCACCCAATGCCTCTGTCCCCAAAGACCAGAGGCAGCACCTCTCCACAGTAAACCTACACACCTTGACTCACTACAGTGCCCCCAGGAGTTTCACTGCAACCCTTCCCTTATCCCAAGGTGGCAAAACCCAGGTTAGGGGCCCACGTGAGTCCTATAAACTGTTTTGTTTGGCACAATTTACTACAATATTTCCCCAGAGGCCTAAGAAGCCCCCAGTTTGCTCAGGATGGATGAAAACAGGACCCTCACCCTCAAACACTAGTTGCTCTGTATACATGATTTTCTTTTGCTTCACAGACCTCATGAGGCTAGTTTTGGTCCCAATTTACAGATGAAGAAAACTGGGGCCCAGAGAAATTAGGCTCAGTTCTGTCTGAGCAGGGCTTCTTGTCTCTATGTCATCACTCACCCTCCATGGTCTAACTGCTATGAGGCTGTCCGAGATGGAGCTCAGTGTCTTCTGGCCTGAGTTTGAGGAGGGGAGGCTTGGAGTCCATGGTCTGGACCTTGAGGGGGAGCTCCAAGCCCCAGGGCCAGCTGGAAAGGTGGGAAGACCTTTCTGCTACTCCAACATGCCCAGTGAGTCAGCTACCACATCCTAGCTGGGCCCCACTCAATTCTTTTACTTCTGCTCTCGGAAAAGGAGGACCAGGCAATGCTGTAAAACCTTTATATTTTATTACTCAGCCCACGGGGCTGGGCCACACAATTGCCTATGTGGCCTCTTTTAGCTACATGAAGCTTTCTCACCACCTTCAGCTTTTCATTTCAGCCCAGTGTGCCCACATCTCAGTTTCCATCTTCATGGACATCATGTAACCAGAATCTTCCTCTTCAACAATTAACACAACCCTCCCAAAACCCCGCTGACATAAATGTACTCAAATTCTCCCCACCACAACACTGCTGGGGTGGGCTGGGCTGGGGGAGGCAGCGGAACAGGTGGGTCCCTCTCTAGGTGAGCTCTTTGCTTTTCAAGGCCCAAAGGGCAAGATCTTTCAAGAAATTTTGCTTTGGCAAAACAGAGAATTGCAGTTGTATATATGTGGGTTTTTCTAGAAATGAGCATTGCAGACAGCAGGCCACAACTGCCACACTCGTTTGTCCAGGCCCCACAGATCTTTCATCAAGGTTTCCAGGGTCTCTGAGAAAAGAATCATCTCCCATACTGAAGGGGCTGCAGCAATGCACGCTCCCGCCTCGTGGAAGCGCTCCTATCACAGCACGTCAGGAAGATTCTGCCTTGAATGTCCCAGGAAGTGAGGAAACAAGCTCCCAAGCAGGAGATGATGTCCCACACATGCCAGTGAGTGGCTGAACTCTCACAGGTAGGAAGCAAATCATCCTGTTCCAGGTAGGGCAGAGGGTCCAGCTAAACTCAGTTCTATGCTATATTTGGTGTTGGCTCAAACAACTGTGGGGATCCAGCGTGATGGGACTATAGCCATCTTGACTGCTATCACCATTTTGCCCATCAAGTGACCCCGGCATGCATCCCACACCCAATGGGACAAATAAGGTCATAAAGATAAGTCAGCCAGGTGTGGTGGGCTAGCCACTGACCACCAGCCTGTTTCTTAACTGACACTGGACATATTCACAGTTTCTGAGAAAGCGCAGGTACATTCCAGTTGATAGTGGCCCACCTTTGTCTAGCTTAGTTATATGAGCCTCTTCCTGCTGCCCTACGGTGTGAGTGAGCACTCCCCTGTCTTGCTGCTGCCCAACATATACTCCTGTCCAAAAGGCCCTAACAAACTGTCCTTTGTGTAATCCTGGATGTCTGCCTCTTTCTCTGGTCTTTTAGCACCTTCCACTTTGGGCAGCTGGTTCTCACACACTGGGATTGCTTTTTTCTGTATTTGGGAGGGAGAAGCAGAAACTTCTTAAAAAAAAGTCTACTTTCTCAACAGCACTTTCCTGTGGTTGACCTACTGTGTTGAGGGAAGCTGGAGCTGGAAAGAGAGTGACCACAAAGAAAGCCCAAATTCTATTTTTCCTCCCATTCATTCCTATATAGCTCTGGCCAAAAATACTTTTCACTGTGCCTCAAGAGAGAAGCCCTGCCAGGCATGGTAGCACATATCTATAATCTCAGTGTTCAGGAGGCTGAGGTAGAATCATCACCACAAGTTCAAGGCCAGCTTGTGCTACATAGTGAGTTCAAGATCAGCACAGAACACATAGCAAGATGCTGTCTCAAAAAAGAGAGAGAGGGAGAAACTCTCTGGCCTACCCCAGGCCTGGGAATCAACCAGAAACTTTCTAAACAAAGATAACACAACAAAACCCCTAACAACCAAAGCCTAAAGCAGTAACTGAAATGAAGAAACTGCAGGCCAGGTGCAGGAAACAGGATATCCTGCATTGTTAAGTCCTCAGTCTTGCTCTTGTGACCCCAAAGACCCAATGAGGCCCAAAGAAAGCCAGAAGGGCAGGACTTCCAGGGGAAAGGGTCAAGAAATATGGACAGAAAGCTGACTGCAGATACCTGGCTGCTGTCTTCTGCTGAGCCTCTTCCTCTGAGTAAGATGCCTGAGTAGCAGGAGAACCTCCCCTGGGTGCCTGCTAGAAATGCAGACATCTAGCCCCTGCCCTGCTGCACTAACACAGGGCTTGCATGCTAGCAGGTTACACAAGTGATCAGTAGCAGCCTGTGCAGAAAGAGACAAGGTCTCCCCTAGGAGCATTTTCAGTCTTTAGAGCTCCAATAGGCTCTGAACCTTGAGCATGAGTGAAAGTACTCAGAGTCTTTCACCACTTCCTCATTCCTTGCTTTCCCACATAGCAGACTGCAGAACATCTTCCCCTGCCTGAAAGTCTTGCACTCTCAAAAAGGAGTTGGCTTTGTAATCCCTTCTCAGTTTCTCATCTGTCAAACAGACCAACAATTAGACAACCAATATAGCTCCCATCCCTGGGTCCACACTCTGACCCTCAACCACAAGAGCAAATGCCCCAATGTACAGGAGCTGGTCCAGTTCACAGATGAATTGCCTGCCTTGAGAAAGCATTTTTCAATGCTTCTTGTCCTTGGTTCTCTTCCTATCAAACATGGGGACTCTGGGATATGTGGCTGAGGGGAGGGGGTACTGCAAGGCACATGATAAGCACAGATTTATTACAGATATGAATAGAACATATTAGGAACAGAGTGGAAAATACAAATGAATTCCTAAAACAAAAGAGAAGACTTGAAATAAGTTTCTAGGTTGTTAGTAAGTTGCTGCTCTGGGCCACAGGGACTAGGATGGTAAGGTGGGGAGGCAGCATCTGTGGAAGCTTTCTTCTGCCGCTAGAGGTCTTCAGAGAAAGGGTCTGAGGATCATCACCCTCTCTCATCCCACTGAAAACCATGGTGAGTGGCCATACCCTCTGCCAACAGCCTCTGGAGTATCTGAGGTCACATGCCAGCCAATAGCCTTTGGCTTTTTCAAGGGTATCAAGGCTCCAGCAAGTCTTCAGGAGAATCTGTCCCCTTGGAAGCTACATAACCTTAAAAGAGAACCAAGGACAGAAACAAGGGCACTGAAGTCTTTTGTGGTTCAGTGCCCCACAGATGCCAAGGGAGCAAACCTGGGAAGTCAAGGGAGGCATAAATATGAAGTCCCAGTGCCAGGAAAACAGCCAGAGAAAGAACACAGAAAAAGTTATCTTTCTGTACTACTCACAAAATAGCTCAGGGCAGGGCCCTTGTTATCTGAACCAACACCACAGCCACAATGATTGGGAAATATTGAACTGACTCATCAGAGTTATGTGACGAAATGCAGTGATGAATCACCAAAGCCCACAGGTGTCAGCTTAGACTGCCCTGTGATAAGCAAAAACAAACGGTTCCTGGGGGCATCTGACTCTCTTTGGGGTGGGGATAGGTTTGACAAACTGCAAAAGGGTCATAGATTCAAACTAGACAACTGGTCCAAAGGTTATTCAGAGATGGATTGTGGGAATTATCAGTAAGAAATAGACTCAGAGAAGTTTAGAAAGTTGGTTATGGTCACACTGCGTGAACTCCAGATCCAGGACTGAGACCCACCTGTTATGGTCTGTATCTAGACATCCACCAAGAGCCTTATGCATTCATAGGCTGGGCTTCAGGAAGATGACTGGATTATGGGGACATTTAGCTAACTTGCTAAATGTGAGTTAGAAGGTAAGTTCTGGTCAGAAAAGGAGGTCTCTGGGGGCATGACTTGGAAGGGTATATTTTTTCTCTGGCTCCACCCTTCACCCTTCACTTCTTATCTGCTGGCCCCAGAAAAAAGAAGACAGGCATGAGGAAGAGAGTGGCATCACTCAGTCACCGTGGCCAAGATCATCCTAGCCCAGCTGACCCCAGACCTCTCACAGACCAAGGGAGCTCATCTACCCTAGCTGATTTGTCAACAAATTCAGGTAGCTACTGTCACTGAGATTTGTGGTCGCTTGTTACCCAGCGTTATGGTGACAACAGATAACTGATCCCATAGAGCAGGCACTTGTATCTGTCAACTAAACAAACAAGTTCTAGCTTCATTATTAAAAATGAATGGAGGGCCAGGGATTTAGCTCAGTGGTTCCGCTGCCTGCCTCACAAGTACAAGGTCCTGAGTTAGATCCCTGGTACAAAAAAAAAAAAAAAAAAAAAAAAAA